AAAAAGTTAAGAGCTTCACCAGGTAGGTGATTGTTGTAAGCAAAGCCATCTAAGACATTACCTTACCTTATCATAGAAAAAGTTTTATCCATCAAAGCCAGTATAATCATTGGATTAAATTCCATTAAACCCCCCAACCTTTAATAGTTGGGAAACAATACCCCTCCACCTTTTGAATGGATCGATAATCCCCTCGAGTATTATTTTCTGGTGAGTTTTAGAATTAAACAGTCTTCTTTTTTCTTTTTGCTTGGAGATTCAATAAACAAAACATATGATCTACTACTTTGAAAGAATGCATACATATCTAATAGTCTACTTCAGCAAAGGAACATTTGATCCGAATGCAAAATCATGTATATAACACAGGAATGCAACAAACGAAATAATTTTTTGCAATGATTTAAAGAAAACATGTTTTTGCTTGACCTCGTTTAAGACAGTACCTGATCCCATGAAGAAGGCTATGAAGAAAACTTTGTAAACATATTTGGCTTCTCGTTTTGTTTTAAGAGGCATTCACTGTATACATTCAGTCAAATTTTCTTTTGATGCTTTGAGAATTCTGAAAGATATTTACAGAGATTAAGATAAAAAAAGGGAACTAAATGATCATGCATGATACTGTGGAACCATAATTTAGCTAAACAACACCAGAATTTTCCTACAATGGTTTAAAGAAATATGTTCTTGATGCATCAATTTGTCACTGAGATGTAGCTCAGATTCTCAAGTTCATTTCTGGTCCTTGTTAACAGAGGCGGACTTAGGATTTTAACGCGAGGGGCACCGGTATTCTGCTCAACTAGTGCACCCTAAAGGCTTTTATGTATATAAGTATATGTATACACATATACATATACAAGATTTTTGTCGAAGTTTACGGATTCCGATGACCCTCAAGGATACACATAGATCCACCTCTGCTTGTTAAGTTCTGTGTTTTACTGCATGAACATCAATGGATGATAGAGCATGCTATTCATTGGAATGAGCTTAAAATGAAATGATGGTAAAAATTTATTAAAATCACTTGTTTATTGAACCTTTAACAACAAGAAAAAAAGGAAAGTTGTTTATAATTCTAAAACTCATCGGAAAATGCAATTCAAGGGGGTTATCGGTTCTATTCAAAAGATGGAGGGGGTATTGTTTCCCAACCATTAAAGGTTAAGGGGGTTTAGTGGGATTTACTCTAATCATTGCTGCTTTGTGAATATAAACGTGAAGAAAGCAGGAAAACATTTAGAACTTTATATTATGATTGCTTATTCGATTTTGTCCTTGTTTTGAAGAATAAATATATTTACTTAGCTGTCTGCTGTGTGGATATTTCGTGTCAATTTCTTGGATTAATAGAGCATCAAACATGCACATAGTTCCCAGAGATGCCTTTCCTTTAGGAGTGTCATTGTATTCCGGATCTTTAATCTCCTTGTATTCCGGATCTTTAATCTCCTTCAAAGAAAAAGGAGCAGAGTTTGGATTTCTTGATTTTAGCTGGAAAAAGATTAAAGACAATCTTGAAAATGCTATAGTGCTGAAAATCACATCCCCGTAAACCTGATTAGAGAGCAATAGTTGAGAGTAATAGGTGTTAACACCCATGTGGATTGTGAAACTATTATTAGAAATGCTCTGTTTAAGGATTCAGTATATTCTGAATGGGTTTATAACAAAGTAAAGGTAATCACATTCCCAAACCCTAAGACCAACAAAAGTCATGTAAAGAGGGTATCTTTATATTCCAGCTACAACACTTGGTCTGAGCCCATCCGCTTCAACCTCTGTGGGCAGGATAACCTTGACAACCTATGCCAGTGAGTTGGATAGAGTTACCTGGTAGATTAGTTGCGGTAGGCTCAAGTTGGTCCAAGAAACATCGATGTTAAAGAAAATGATAGCTCTAATATCAGTTTTTTGACGATCGTCTTCATGCACCTTTGAGCTAGTGCAGACTACTGATATACTTTTAGTACCGTGATAATAGTGATCAAATCTGCACAATTCACCTACATAATGCATGGAAGTTGAAGATTCCTTATTTGAATTAAAGGAGTTGTAGAATTAAAATATATCTTTTGCACATTGCAAATGATGAACAATCAAGGCACAATTTCTTGTTGAGTTGAAATGAATGGCAGTTTGCAGGTCCAAACAAAGCTAAGAGAGTAAATATCTTAACTATTGACAACTTTACCTTTTGAATTTCAGTGAGCTCATTGCGCTTTTAGTCACTTATGCAAAGAGTGGATTCAAGAAGGCGGCAGCAAAACTGTGGAGGAATGAAAGCAGAAAGCCCTCAAAGTTGCCGAAATGCAAGGAGTCTGGTTGCCTTCTCCCAGCAAAACAGAAGTAAAGGATGTCGCCTGAGGGTTCTCGGTCTCAATTTGTATGATCCTCTCATGCATTTTACTCTATACTGGAAAATGGACCTAAAGGTCAGAGGGAGTGTAGTCGTCTTCTGCCTCCTGTTTGTTTGAAGTTTGCCTTTTACCTGTACTTATATTAAAGAAACTATTGTAATATTTTCGTCTTCTGTCCTTGTTAATTACTAGTTGATTTGTAAATTCTTGTAAAAAGTCACCTAATAAAGTTAATGTCAGACTCCTTTCATCTTTATATCATTACAAAAATATTTTGGTTATCTTACACAACTTCTGTCTTTAAAAAGATAACGGCCACTATGGGTAAAACTATATGGAGTACTAGTTAGGAAGGAAAAATGGGATATATTTAATATTAAAAAAAAAAGCTCCTCACGAAATGAAAGGGACCACTAGAAATTAGAAGCTTGACTGAAAATTCAAGGAGGAGCCTCAATATTAGACCTCTTCCAAGTCAGCATTTTGGTGCTCTGACTTTGTCATGTCTTCTAGACATTATACAACTTCATTTTCCACTTTGGCCTCTGATTTTCATATAAATAAAGCCTTTGAAGCAGTTGTATATAAAAACACAGAGCTCTTAAGCTTAAGAAGATGGCTATCTCTCCTCTTCAAACCCCAATAGCCAAAAGGTTTTTGTTCTGTCTTCTTCTATTTCTTCTTTTTCTTCTTTTTCTTCTTTCCTACACATAGAAAATAGTAACAATCTCTGTTTCAACTTGATTTTGCAGGTTGGAAGATCAAGTAGCACTTATAACTGGTGGTGCCAGTGGCATAGGAGCAGCCACAGCTAGGCTTTTTGTTCAACATGGTGCAAAGGTTACAATTGCTGACATTCAGGATAATCTTGGAACTTCCTTAGTACATGAGATTGGCATCAAAGAAGCAATCTTTGTCCATTGCAATGTATCCATCGAATCGGATGTTCAAAATGCAGTGGATGCAACAATTGCCAAGTTCACTAAACTCGACATAATGTTTAGTAATGCAGGTGTAATGGGTAAGCCAATTTCCAGCATCTTAGAGGTTGATTATGACATTATTAAGAACGTGTTCGATGTAAACATTGCTGGAGCATTCTTTTGCGCGAAACATGCTGCTAGAGTGATGATTCCAGCCAAAAGAGGGGCCATTGTTTTCACAGCGAGCGCTGCAACAGCAACGTATGGTGATGTCTCACACACCTACACGGCGTCAAAGAATGCAATTCTGGGGCTCTCCAAGAACGTTGGGGTCGAATTAGGGAAGTATGGAATAAAAGTAAACTGTGTTTCTCCTTACACAATTGGCACACCACTGGCGTTGAACACACTTGGAATCGATGACAGAAAAATGGCAGACAAGTTATTTGCAGGAGGAGGAAATCTGAAAGGAGCTTTACTAGATGAAGACGAGGTGGCAAAGGCAGTGTTGTACTTGGCAAGTGATGATTCCAAATATGTGAGTGGTCTGAACCTCATTCTAGATGGTGGTTATAGCACCACAAATATAGCTTTAACAGAGGCCTACAAGAAAATGTTCCTCATCAACTACTCATCAGCCGAGCATTGAAGGAATTCGAGGAGTCTTCCCGTCTACTTCTATTTTGATCAGGACTGAAATACTAGATATTAGGAAAGAAGCAATTAGCTAAAAAGGAGAACTTAGGGAGTTAGTTAGTTAACACTGTTAGAGGGTTGTTAGCTGTTAATGAGCTTGCACGTGTATGTGTTATATAGTAGACAAGTTGGACTTGTTCTCTATAGTTCAGATTAGGAGTGGCAAACGGGCGGCTCGGGTCGGATATAATTCGGGTCGAAAATGGGTAATGGAAAAACGGATAAATTATCCGACCCGACCCATATTAAATACAGATAAGAAACGGGTTAACCGACGGATAATATGGGTCCATGACTTCTTGAATATGATCACTTTTGGTAGAATTTTTAGTCTCCCAAACTTGATGAACCCCCAATTTAGACTTTACAAATGTAAAAGTTAAACCCATTAGTTATCCATTGGTTACTCATTGGTTATCCATTTTCTAAATGGATAATATGGTTCTTATCCATATTTGACCCGTTTTTAAAAAAATCATTATCCAACCCGTTTTTAGTGAATAATACGGGTGGTTAACTGCTTTCTTTTAACCATTTTGCCACCACTAGTTCAGATCAAGAAAATAACCGCTTCCTCTATGTTCTTATGAAGCTTTCTCTTTACTTCATCGAGAGAATATCCTTTGCATGTCATGGATCTATATTTGTGCAGCTGAAATTTAGCTAATTTTATCATGGTATCAGAACATCAGTCTTGAGACTTGCAGTTCCGGCGTGAAATTCTAGCAAAATTTGAGTAGACGAAGCTTAGCTCTAGACAAGCATGTCCGGAAATGAGGTTGCTTCGTTTGATCACAATCATCTGTTGTTCCTTCAAGCATCAGATGCTCCAAGCATCAGATTTTCTCTTGTTGTCTATTCAAGTTTTTTTAATTTTAGTTTAGTTTAATATTATTTTACTTTTATTAACATGACATTTGGAATGAGAAGTGGCGGATTGGTAATTATTCTTATTTTTCTGATTTTATTCATATTGTGAAGGATCTCACATGTGACAATATTATAAAAATATATCCAGGGATGGATTGTGTGCACCATCTCAATCCTGCAATATTTGCGAGGGCCATTGGAATAATTTTTCTAAGTGTTATTATCCTTCCCCTAGCCCTTCTTATGATGATTTTAATAATGCTTGTGATTTTGATAGAAGCAACAAAGTGAAAGGAGTGGAACGTAACGCTCGTATTATGGATATATACAGGCTATTAGTAGAGGAGTATATGGATCTCCGTGAGAAAATGACAAATGGGATGAGACACTTAATAGAAGGAAGAGGTGAGCTTAGGCAAGAGATCAATAGATTTGGCATCATTATTCATGATTTGGAGGCTCAATTGAGTGCAAAGATTGATGCATCTAACGCGTAACAAATTATTTACGAGTTTTGTAAAGCTGAAAAAGAACTTATAAGACAAAATCAGGAGCTAAACGTTGAGAGCCGTATATTCAACTATATTTTTCAAGATGATGCCAATATTAAGAAAATTAAATTAGAGTCGAGTTAGGAGGCGAAAAATATGATTTTTGAAGACTCCGGTGCATGTAATGATGAGGATATCAAGGATAATATATTTTTAGAGTTGGAGCGAATTGAACCTTATTCTAAACATTTTTTGTTGTGTTTGAATGGTGACATGGGAATCGAGCCATCCAAGCCTATGGAGGAGTCTAGGGATGAAGAACAAAGTGCATACATTCTGAAATTTACCATACCAAGAAGACAAAATGATATCCCACATTTAAAGACCAAAAAGTACAAAATGCGATATTTGTTACTTGGTTCTTTTGGATTTGTATCACCACCTTGGAAGCATAGTCGCAAACCTGAAGCAAAGTTGGGGATCCAATTCATAACTTCGAAGTGGAGGCAAAAATGGCGTGCTATGACTATAAATGCCGTGCTTCTTGGGAGACAACCCAAGTGCTTAACGTGTTTTTCGTTTTTATTTCATTTTTAATCTTATTTTAATTTTAGTTCTAGTTGGTAGTTCTTAACTTATTTTATTGTGTTATGGTGGACTTCTAATAACAATTAAACAAAAAAAAGAGGAAGGGTAATGATACGCTCAAATTACACCTATATAAATAGTGTAAAACGGTCGAATGCAAATATAATAACCCAACTAGGTTGGGTTTGAATCTGTCACAACCCCAAATCCCAACATGTTGGGATGGCGCCTAACACACTTGCTAGGCAAGCCGACAATCACATAATAGCTAAACATTTGAATAAACATGCTTTAATAAACTCAACAACGGAAAATCTCATAGATATCTGATAAAAATAACTGAAATACTACTACCACCACCCCAAAATCTGGTGTAAACGAGCACACGAGCACTACTAAATAATAAGGTACAAGCAAAATCCTCTAATACAACTGTCTAAATATGAGAACAGTAAAGATAAAGATGACAGAAAGAGAACTTCAAGGACTGCAGACGATATGGCAGCTATATCGTAGTCTCCCAAAAGCTGGCAACAACTGTTATGACTCAATTTCCACCATAATTCGTGATGGCGCCCAACGTCACCGCTAGGCAAGCCAATAATGAACTATCCATTTAATTATTTATTTTAATATTTTAAACTCATTGATTTTATTTAATAACGAAACAAATAGTAGGTGATCGTAGTAGTCTAAAGCATAAACTAAACATGAGAGTAAAGTAGTGAATTTAATAAATCAAAAACCATGAATATCTACTAGAATTTCCCCAAAACCCCGTGTCATAAGTGCACGAGCATCTAGTAGAATATACAAAACTCCCTAAAACTACTGTCTGCAAAAGAATAGATAGAAATAGTAAATATAACAAGAGAAGGCTCCGGGGCTGCAAAACAGAGCATGAGAAGCAGCTCATCATTAGGCCTCCGGGTAATGCAGATGCACGCCTGGACGAACACCAGATGTACCTACCTCAGAACCTGCACAATTTGTACAGAAGTGTAGCGTGAGTATGTAAACAATGTGTACCTAGTAAGTATTTATTCTAACCTCGAAGAAGTAGTGACGAGGGGTCGACATCGACACTCACTAGTGGTCAATATACATAAGTGCAAGAATTATAAATAGGCATAAAATACAACAATAATAATGGAATAAGAGACAATAAATAAGTGATGCTTTAACCAAATAACAAGTTACAAATTCCCAAATATCACATGCTAATCTCAACAAGTAAGGGCCAACAGTAATTACAACTTCTAGAGTCATGAAGAATATATCGAGTATAATCGGACTTTTAGCGACAACACGCACGAGTTATGCCAAGGTCGTACGGCTCGATCCATAACAACAGTATACATACACTACCGAGGTCGTACAACCCGATCTATGGATGCATCACATTATATATAAATATTTTTGAGGCGTTTGGCCCGATCCACAGGAATAGAGAAACTTTTCGAACTACGAATTTCGTGTTTACAACCCAAGGTAAGCCCATAAAGGAATTATAAACTTTCCATCAATAATTAATCATTCCGCCAAATCTCTAAGTAATAAAGCTCGGTCTAACATCATCTTCAATTAAAATTTACTTATTAATACAAGTAATTAAACTAACAAGTTGAGTTCAAATAGTGCAAGTATTGCATGATAAAGTCCTATATCTACCCGGACATAACATGTATTTTTAGCTACCTATGGACTCTCGTCAATTCGTGCATACGTAGCACCCACAATTAGTAGCAAATAACAATTTAAATACCTATGGGATTAATTCCCTCTTTAAAAGTTAGGCAAGAGACTTATCTCGTTTTTAAATCCACTTCTCGGTCCACGGATCACACTAAAAGCCTCACGTCGGTGCCGAGCAATCCGAAATTAGCCAAAGGTTGTACACACTAATCAATATTTGCTCAAAAATTCATAATTTAACTATTAGAGTAATTACCCAACCCAATTTGGAGAATTCCTAAAATTCACTCCCGGGCCCACGTGTCCGGATTCCGAAAATTTTTGTAAATAATTATTACCCATAACCTCACGAACACAAATATATAATTTCTACTCAATTCCATAACAATTTTCGTGGTCTCATCCCATTTTTATCAAAACCTAGATTTTTCAACAAAATACTAAATTTTTTACAATTTTCATGTTAAAATCTACCCATAATCTATGTATTAAATTTATATTGTATAGAATACACTTACCTCAAGATGCTAGGTAAAAATTCCTCTGTAAAAAGTTCCAAAATCGGCCACAAGATGAGAGAAATGAATAAAATAGGCCAAAGTCCCATTTTTATTAAAGTCCACTACCCAACGATCCTTCTTCGCGATCGTGGAAGAGGCCTCGCGATCGCGAAGGCAAACTACCCAGGCCCTAGAAAAATGTACTTCGCGAAGGCTTGCCTGACCAAAGCTTCACGAACGCGGCCCTACCTTCGCGAACGCGAAGAACAATTGGCCAGCGAGTCCCTAGACCCAATTTATTCTATGCGAATGCAGGCATAGGCATGCGAACGCGATGAACAATGGCCCAGAGCATCGCGATCGCGAGCTTCACTTCGTGAACGCATAGAACAAAACCTCCCCCAGTCCCATTCCTTCATTGCAAACGCGAGGAAATCTCCACGTTCGCGAATAAGCAAACCAGAACCAGCAAGTGCAGCAGTTTTGGACTTAGCTCCGAGCGGTCCGAAACACAACCGAGCTATCCGGGACCCCGTCCAACTGCATCAACAAGTCCATAAATATAATACGCACCTGTTCGAACCCTCGGAACGCGTAAAACAACATCGAAACTAAGAATCGCACCCAAAATCAAATTGATTAGCTTATGAACTTCAAACTTCTCAACTAGCTCTGAACGCGTGGAATCATACTGAGATAACTCGGAATGATAACAAATTTTGCGTACAAGTCCTAAATCACCATATAGACCTATTCCCAGGCTCGGAATCCCAAATGGACCTCGATAATACCAAAGTCTACTCCAAACAAAATTTAAAGAACTAGAAAACCTTTAATGAGCCAACTTTCAACATTAAGCGCCGAAACCCGATCTGAACATACTCCCAAGTCCAAATCATCATACCAACCTATTGGAACCATCAAATCCCGGTTCTGAGGTTGTTTACTAAAAGTGTTGACTCAAGTCAAACTTGGTCATTGTAACGGCCCGGCCGATCGTTTTAAGAGTTGTAGTCCAGTTTCCCCATTTACTGCTCATTTTGTATTTTATAGCTGTTGTGTGACTTGTTGTGGTAGTCAATTCGGGTCCGGTGAGATTTCAGAATGAAATGAGTCATATAAGAGCCGTTTGGACACAAGAAAATTTTCCTTTTTTCAATTTATTTTAAAACAATGTTTGGTTATCAAAATCTTACAATTTTTCCAATCTCACTTGAAAATGCATTTTCAAATTTGAAAAATTGGTGAGAACTAGTTTTTCAATTGAAAATGGGATGGTTACTAGTGTTTAGTTGCAAAATATGTTGAAAAAAAGACATCCAAATATGTCGCAAAAATTATAACCAAACACAACTTAATCTTCAATTCAAATTTTAGTGAAATTCCAAATTTGAAAAAAAATTGGAATTCATGTCCAAATGCCTACTTAGTCTCAAGGTTGAAAGATTAAGTTGAAATGATTGATCGGATGTTGATCTTTGAGTAAACGACTCCGAAACGGAGTTTTGATGGTTTCGTTAGCTCTGTTAGGTGATTTTGGATTTAGAAGCGTGTCTGAATTGTGATTTGGAGGTCCGTAGTGGAATTAGGCTTGAAATGGCGAAAGTCGGATTTTTTGGAAAGTTTGATCGGGAGTGGACTTTTTGATATCGGGGTCGGATTCCGATTCCGGAAGTTAGAGTAGGTCCGTAATGTCAAATATGGCTTATGTGCAATATTTGGGGTCAATCAGAAGTGTTTCAATAGGTTTCAGTGTCGTTTGTAGAAATTGAAAGTTCAAAATTCATTAGGCTTGAATCTGTG